CAAAAAGTAGCTCCTGATTGTGAAGTACTTTGTAGTCAATGGGACTGAAAGGTCCAAAGCACTGCCCTGTACAATGTCATGTGGAATTGGGAATGGAGTCCCCAGCTGTGGATCCCAAGACCCAACATCAAGTCCACCTCAAAGTCTCAGGAACATGTCCATTCTATCAATGTAACCTGGAAATAGTTACTAACATTGTAATAACTGCTTCATGTTCAATACAAGAGCCTCTTCTAGTTAGACTGCTAAGTGGTTTTCCTCAACCACTCTGGGCCAAGCAGGGCCTGTTGTTTCCTATACTTAAAGAGGATGGTGCTGACAAACCTACCGAATGTTGAGGTGCACACTCAATTTACACACATGTAGAACAATCTTGAGGATGTCAAAATTACCCATAAATGCAAATCCTTCTTTTCTCTCCTTTTTATTCTATTCCTTTGTATCTTTCCCTCTATCCCTTTCTCTTCCTCATCCTTTCTTTCTCTTTCTGCCTCTTTCTCCTTTTCTTTCTCTCTCCCTTATTCTTTCTCTGTTTTCTCTACTGTCTTTTACTCTCTTGGTCTGCCTTATCTCTCTTTCTATCTCTCCCTGTCTCTCTTTATCTCTTTCCCCTCACCTCCTTTGTACTTTCTTTCCCCTTTTCTCTTTGTCTATCTTACTTTCAGTCTCTTATCCTTTCTCTCTTTCATTCTGCTCGGTCACTGACTGAAGTGCAGGAGAAATTTCGTATATACCCACTAATGACATTCTCCTTCAGTCATCCGATCAGAGGAGAGTAATCTTGAAAAGCTAGAATAGCAAGTAGGAAATTCCAATACCTTTCCCTTGACTTAGCACTTTGACACCGAGGATTAAACCAATGTTTTTTTTATCTGACTCTTCGCATTACTTGCACATTACCCTTTGCACTCAGAAAGCAGGACTGAGTATAGGGCTTAGTCTATGTATAACAACTTCCTGCAATGTATCCATCATTACATTCTGTTGTCTTTTAAATGATATATTTTAAGTAGAATTTTGAAGGTACTTGCTGCATTTTATTGTCTATTTTTGTTTGCATTTAAGAATAAAACTTACACAATAAATATGAGTGAACTTTAATCTGAAATGTGTTGCCAAATCTTAATGTTGTTTGTGATGACTTTAAGGTGGTTAATTTTTGACTGACTTAAAGAATGATTAGCATTTTCCTGGGTAATAGCACAGGCATGATAGCCGAGACTCCTTGCCCATGAATCAAATTATAGGAGCAGGAGCAGGAGTAGGCCATTCAGTCCTTCAAGCCTGCTCCACCATTCAATAAGATGGCGGTTTGATTAAAGAGGTACATTCTTACGAGTGTCTGAAATCCTCTTTTCAGACATGGGCCATGATATCAGCATTGGTGTTGTCGCTGGACTGTTAAACTAGAGACCAAGGTAACATTCTGGGGACCTGGGTTCGAATCCCGCCATGGCAGATGGGTGGAACTTGAATCCAATAAATATCTGGAATTAAGAATCTAATGATGACCATGAATCCATTGTTGATTGTTGGAAAAGCCCATCTGGTTCACTAATGTCCTTCAGGAAAGGAAACTGCCATCCTTACCTGGTCTGGCCTACGTGTGACTCCAACCCCACAGCAATGTGGTTGACTCTCAACTGCCCTCTGGGCATTTAGGCATGGGCAATATATGCTGCTTAGCCAGCTCATCCCATGAATGAATAAAAAAAAAAATTATTGCCCATCCCTAGTTGCCCTTGAGAAGGTGGGGGTGAGCTGCAGTCCATGTCCTATATGTAGACCCACAATGCCCTTAGGGATGGAATTCCAGGATTTTGACCCAGTGACACTGAAGAAAAGGTGATTTATTTCCAAGTCAGAATGGTGAGTGGCTTGGAGGGGAACTTGCAAGTGATAGAGCTCTCCAGTATCTGCTGCCCTTGTCCTTTAGATGGTAGAGGTCGCTGACTTGGAAAGTGCTGTCTAAGGAACTTCGGATGTTGTAATAGGCATTGTTATGTCTCACAGCTTGTATGCAATACATCTTCAAGACTCAAGCTCATAATATCATCACCATATCATGAAAGGCCTCAGTCTCCAACTTATTGTGACTGCTTCTAGCATGGCACATTGAGAGGAACATCCTCCCGTTTGTGACTCCGTTGCTCAGTACTAGCCCATACACAGCAATGCCTAGGATCGTGATATATGTCGATACCGGGAGCTGTAAGAAACATCTACAGACTCTTTCAAAGCTATGTTATCCATTTCTAAGTCAGATATTATAGGAACTAAAATATGTATCACCTCATCAGGCATGGATACTAAAGGTAATAAAAGGTAATAATTCTGTCAGCGCTGCGATGGCAGATTGTGAGAGTGGAACAGATCTGTGTGAACAGCTGTTGACATTTATGAAGAAACAACTCCCAGATCCTATATATGACAGATAAGTGGCAGGTGGAATTTATCCCTGATAAGTGTGAGGTGATGTACTTTGGAAGAATTAATAAGACAAGAGAGTACTCAGTGAATGGCAGGGCATGAGGAAACCCAGAGGGACAGAGAGAGATCCATATGTTCTTATCCACAGATCCCTGAAGGTGGTAGGACAGTTAATAGGGGAATTAACAAAGCAAATGGGACCCTTGCTTTTATCCATCGAGGCATAAATGAGAAGAGCAGGGAGGAAATGTTGGAGATGTGCAGGACTTTGTTGGGCCACAGCTGGAACACTGTGTGCAGCTCTGTTGACTACACTATAGGAAGGATGTGATCACACTGGAGGGGGTGCAGAGGAGATTCACTAGGATGTTGCCTGGGATGGAGCATTTCAGCGATGAAGAGATGCTGGATAAGCTCATGTTGTTTTCTTTGGAACTGAGAAGGTTGAAGGGGTACACATTAGTGGTGTATAAGATGATAGGGGCATCGACAAGATGGATGGACAGCAGATGTTCCCCTTTATTGAAGGGTCAAGAACAAGGGGACATCATTTTAAGGTGAAAGGCAGGGGGTTTAGAGGGGACTCAAGGAAAGATTTTTTTTCACCTAGAGGATGGTGGGAATCTGGAATGCACTGCCAGCCTTTAAATGGCTCTATGACTCTACAACTCGATGAGCACTTGATGTCTCATAACATTCAAGGCTATGGGCCAAGTGCTGGAAAGTGGAATTAGTCTACTTGCCTGGATGAGTGCAGCTCCAACAACATCCAAGAAGCTTGAAATCATCCAGCACAAAGCAGTCTACTTGACTGGCACCACATTCATTATCATCAAAGTTTAGGACAACTGCACAGTGGCAGCAATATACATAATGGCCAAGATATATGCAACAACTCACCTCCAATAGCACTCTTCAAGCCTGTAACCTTAGAAGGACAAGGGCAGCAGATACATGGGCACACCATTGTCTGCAAGTTTCCCTCCAAGTCACTCACCATCCTGACTTGGAAAGAATTGCCATTCCTTCAGTGTTTCTGGGCCAAAATCCTGGAATTCCCTCCCTAAGGGAATTGAAGTCCTACCTATAGTACAAGGACTTCAGCAGTTCAACAAAGTGGCTTTACCACACCTTCTGAATGGGTAATTAGACCCAGGCAGTGATGTTCACATCTCACGAGTGAACTTTAAAAAAGTGAACAAGGTCAGGAGCCACACGACAACAGATTATAGTCCAACAGGTTTATGTGAAATCACAAGCTTTTGGAGCTGGGCTCTTTCATCAGGTGAAGTGTAAGAGCAGCACACAGGCACAGAATTTATAGGCAGTGAGATCAATGGGCAGAGAGATCAAAAGAATGTACAAATGGTGTGAGTGGAGTGTTGATAGATTGAATAATTAGTCTCCGCAGGTGATCAAAAGTGTCAGATGGTGTGAGTAAATTGTCCACAGCTGAACAGCAAGTGAAGGGAAGACCGATAAACCGATGAATTGAGGCAGAGAGGTAGTTACAAAAAATTAAAAATAAGGTGGTGCTGGAGCCAAACCAAACGGCTGGAATAATATGATAAATGTAAGAGTCGCATGCTGAGGATTTAACCAAAGTAACAAGTATTCCAAAACTGTACAAATTAGTTAAGGTAGAGAGACCATAGCTAGTTATCAAGGTGATGGTGTCAAAACAGGACAGTAAGGAAGATTTTACAGATACAGAACAGTGTAGTGGGGTCACATGTAGTGCAGCATGAGCCCATGATCCCAGTTGAGGCTGTCTTTATGGGTACAGAACTTGGCTATAAGTTTTTGCTTGGCGATTCTGCGTTGTTGTGTATTTCAAAGGCCACCTTGGAGGACACTTACCTAAAGATTGGAGACTGAATGTCCTTGACCCCTGAAGTGTTCCCCAACTGGGAGGGAACATTTCTGTCTGGTGATTGTTGTGCAGTGTCCATTGGTGGACATTGCTGGCTAGACCAGCTTTTGTTGCCCATGCCTAGTTGCCCTTGAGAAGGTGGTGGTGAGCTGTCTTCTTGAACCACTGCAGTCCATTGACCCACAATGCCATTAGGGAGGGAATTCCAGGATTTTAACCCAGTGACACTGAAGATATGGCGATATACTTCCATGTCAGGATGGTGAGTGGCTTGGAGGAGAACTTGCAGTTGGCGGTGTTCCCATGTATCTGCTGACTTTGTCCTTCTAGATGGAAGTGATTGTGGGTTTGGAAGGTGCTTTCTAAAGATCTTTGGTGAATTCCTGCAGTGCATCTTGTAGATAGTACACATTGCTGCTACTGAGCGTCTGTGGTGGAGGGAGTGGATGTTTGTGGATGTGGTGCCAATCAAGCGGCTGCCTTGTCATCGATGGTGCCAAACTTCTTGAGTGTTGTTGGGGCTGCACTCATCCAGGCAAGTGGGGAGTATTCCATCACACTCCTGACTTGTGCCTTGTAGATTGTGGACAGGTTTTTGGGAGTCAGGAGGTGAGTTACTCCTCTGGCTTGTTCTTGTAGCCACTGTACTTACATGACTAGTCCATGGAAGAATAAAAAAGAGACAATAATTAATACTTGTCTTGTAATATATCTCAACGGTCTTTTACAGCACACTTTTCCCACTATTTTTTCAGTGCCCAATCAGATAATGCCAGTACTGATGTTTGTGGAAGAGATTGTAAATTAAAAACAATAAACTCAGAATGGACACCCAAATGGAAAATGATATTATCAGAGGTTGTCATGAACATAGTCATTTATGAAAGTTGCCCTAAATATGATTCTCAGTATTCAGATTGTTTGCAACATATGTGAATATTTCCCTGATTTAATTATGTGAGACAAGTGCACAAGTTCACCAACATTCCCTTTCCTTAAAGAAGACTGGCAATCTCCCACTGTCACTTTTCTGCTGTCAAAGCATTTGAGTGTCAAAGTCCTTGTGCAAACTAACAAGTCGTGTACTAAAGTCCCAAATCACACAGAGATAGATACACCTCAGACAGCATGACTTCCAGCTTTTTCTACTTTTCTTTGTGCTTTGCCACGGTCTCAACTGTTACATTTGCTTTGGTAAGTTAACAGAGAAACAATAATCACCTTTCTCTCCTTGCAATGATTAATCAAAGGTGACTAACGTTCATATCTTTGTAAAACTCAAAAGCATTTTGTCTCAGTAACGTGATGATTATTGATTTTTCGTGCGAAAAGTTATTGTTACATCTGGGGCAAAAAATGTGTTAAATTATAGGGACAGGTTGCATAGACTGAACTTGTAACCAGCCTTTGAAGCGTCACTCGACCCGAAACATTAACTCTGATTTCTCTGCACAGATGCTGCCAGACCTGCTAAGCTTTGCCAGCAATTTCTGGTTTTGTTTCTGTAAGATTAATAGTTCATCTATTTGAGGTGTTTATAAGGTTTATAGGGATGGATAGGGTCGAATATATTATGAAGCAGAGGTTGACCACCATCCCTCCCTCCCAGTAACTAAAACTGAAACACCCAGAGTGACTTGCCTTGCCTCATAATCTGTTATGAAGAAGTGTGAAAAGTGGTATAAACTGCCTCTCACCTCCCAATCTGTTATAAAGGAGTGGTTAAATAAAATAAAATCCTTTCATTCACTCTATAATCAGCAAGTAACAATTTATTTATCTAACTCTATTGCGAAAAAAATGTCAGAGCTACTAACAAACCAAGCGATTCCCCCTTAACTACTATCTACTTCTGAATAAAACAAAATTCTAAAGGTATGCTTTTCCAATAGATACAAATCCCAATTATATAAGTCAAATTAATAAAAAAATTAAAACTTAATCTCTCAAAATTACAGTCAGATTAAGTCTTCTGGAACATTCGTTGCCTTCTCTGCTGTCCTCCAGTCAGGAATGCCTTCCTTCCTCAAATTCTTGTGTCAGGAATATTGGCTAAGAGTGCTATTCTACCTTTAGTTTAGATGCTGGTTTTATAAGAGCTTAGAGAATTCTGTGAGAGCCAGTGATTCTTTCTTTTATAGCTGAGAGCTCTTCTTTTGGCAGCTGACAGTCAACACTCACCCTGATTTTCAAATGCCCTCTTCTTTTCTACCCTTGATGCCCTATTGATTTGTGACAATAGGATTAGTCCTAGGTTGTCAAAACCATCAGATTTACATTTAATTGGGTTTTGGTATGCAGAGCCTGGTTTAAATTAATTGGCTAAATTCAAAAACTTTTTGTCTTGGTAAAAATGTTGCTTTGCCTGCTCAAAGTATAGCCTTTTGATACAATGTTTCAATTTCAAGAACTCTCTGTGTATCTGCTGCTACCTGGAGACTTTTTTTTTAAATCTCCAAGCCTAAAAAACACTTCATCATTTAAAGGGACCACGCATTCTTCCCCCTTATCATCTTACAAACATCAAATTCTAACATCTTACCTTCCAATCTACAAATACCCAACTTCGCAACAATAGTCAGAAATGATTTCCTCTGATAGGCGATGGTCCAGAAAACAAGGGCAAAAGCTTTGATATCAGGGTGAGGCTGTTGAGGGAGTACATCAGAAAACAATTCTTCACGAAAAAATGTGACTGAAAATTTGGATTTCCCCATCCTTACAAAAAGGTGTTTGAGGCATTGCGGTCAACCAAAGAGTATGCATGGTTCTGGTCTCTGTATTATAAGAAAGATTAGCAGCCAATTGTCTTGGATGGAGTGAACGTTTAAGGAGACCCTGACCCTCCTGATAACTCTACTGCATTCTGAGTCCAAGGGAGCTTGCCCTTTCCAGCAATGCCCACATACTTTGAAGGAAGGGAGCTTAGGCAGCTTGGTGGCTCAGTGGTTAGCAGTGCTGCCTCATAGCACCAGAGAGCTGGGTTCAATTCCTCCTTCAGGCAACTGTCTATGTGGAGCTTGTACATTCTTTCTGTGTCTGCATAGCTTTCCTCTGGGTGTTCTGGTTTCCTCCCATAGTCCAAACCTGGGTCCCCAGGGCATTAATTTATTACTGTCACATGTACTGAGGTGCAGTGAAGAGTGTTGTCTTAGGTGTGTTACAGGTGGATCGTTCTGTACCAATGCATCAGTGTAACAGAACACAGCGCAGGATACAATGTTACAGTTGCTGCAGAAGTGAAGAGAAAGATCAACATTAAGTTTTGAGAGGTCCATTCAAAAGTCTGATAACAGGGGTGGGGAAGAAGCTGTTCCTGAATCTGTTGTATGTGTTATACAAGCTTTTGTATTTTCTGCCTGACGGAAGAGGGTGGAAGAGAGTATAACTGGGGTGGGAAGGGGTTCTTAGATTATGTTGGTTGTTTTCCTGATGCAGGTTAGGTGGATTGGCCATGCTTTAAAAAGTAAATCACCCTGTAGTGTCCAGGAATGTGTAGGCTGGATGGGTTAGCCATGGTAGAAAACCCATTGGGGTTATGGGATGGACTGGGGTTAGGTCTGGGTGGGATGCTTTTCAGAGGATTAGTGCAGACTCATTGGCTGAATGGCTTCTTCCTGCACTGAGGGGATTCTGATTATAAAAAAAGATGAGCAAGTCACCCAAAGATAATACAGCCACCATTTCAAAACCTTTTTTACAAAAAATATTTAAATTTCAATTGCTAATTATTAAGAATTAAAGTTGATTTGAGAGTAGTTTGGAGAATAAAAAGTATTCTGCATAATAGCCTAAACAATAAGTTTGGCCACATGACACGGTAAAGAAGATTGCTGTTTGAATCTGCCATTGGGGAAATGATGTCTTTCTTTGATAAAAACAATATGAATGTGTCTCCAATAAACATAAAGAACTGCAAATGCTGGAAATCTGCAAAAAAAAAAGCAGAGAATTCTGGAAAAATACAGCAGGTCTGGCAGCATCTGGAGTTTATGATGAAGGGTCACTGGATTCAAAATGTTAACTCTGTTTCTCTCTCCACAGATGCTGCCAGACCCACTGAGTTTCTCCAGCACTCCTTGTTTATGAACCTTTCTCCCTAACTTAGAAATTAAAACTCACTTAGAGAATGTACAGTTAATATATTTCTCCCAGATTTATAAATCTCATTTCAAATAAGCAATTTCATTAATTGGGTTTGTATTGTGGAAAGTACTAACCTCTTGTTGTTGACATGGACTCAATGGAACAATTGGCCTCTTTCCGATTTGTTTTAATTCTATGTCTCTATGATGATAAGACCATAAGATGCCCATTGAGCCTGCTCTGCCAGTCAATGAGATCATGACTGACCTGAGCATTCTCAACTCCATTTCCTGCCTTTTCTCCTTACCCCTTACTGGTTAAAATCTGTCTATCTCAGCCTTGAATATACTTAATGATCCAGCCTCGACAACCCTCTGTGATAAAGAATTCCATAGATTCACTATCCTGAGACGAGAAATTCCTCCTCTTCCTTGTCTTACAAGAGTGACCCATTATTCTGAAATAATATTCACTTTCAGCATGGATTTCCCCACAAAACGAAGCAAGGTTTCTGTCAAGTCCCCCAGAATGTTATATGTTTCAATAAGATTTCCTCTCTTTCTTCTCCAATGAGTACAGGTCCAACCTACTCAACCTGTCCTAATAAAAAAACCCTCCATACCCATTATCAACCTTCTCTCGTCTGCCTCCAATGCCAGTCTAAATTTCCTTAGCTAAGGAGCCCAAAATTGTTGACTGTATTCTAGCTGTGCTCTGACCAGTGCCTTGTATAGTTTTAGGAAGACCTTCCTATTCTTATACTTCATTCTATTTGCCTTCTCTATTACGTGCTGAAACTGGATGCTAGCTTTTTTGTGATTTATGCAATTTTTTAATTCATTTGTGGGACATCGGCATCATTTATTGCCCATCCCTAGTTGCCCTTGGTAACGAAAGTGGTAGTGAGCTGCCTTCTTGAACCGCTGCCGTCCATGTGCTGTGAGTAGATCCATAATGCCCTTAGGGAGGGAATTCCAGGATTTTGACCCATCGACACTGAAGGAACAGTGATATATTTCCAAGTCAGGATGGTGAGTAGTTTGGAGGGGAAATTGCAAATGGTGGTTTTCCCATGTATCTGCTACCCTTGTCCTTCCAGATGGAAGTGGCCGTGTGTTTGGAAGGTGCTGTCTGAGGATCCTTGGTGAATTTCTGCAGCGCATTTTGTAGATAGTACACACTGCTGCTACTGAGTGTCGGTGGTGGAGGGAGTCGATGCTTGTGGATGTGGTGCCAATCAAGTGGACTATTTTTTCCTGGATGGTATCAAGCTTCTTGAGTGTTGTTGGGGCTGCACCCATCCAGGCAAGTGGGGAGTATTCCATCACACTCCTGACTTGTGCCTTGTAGATGGTGGGCAGGTTTGGGAAGTCAGGAGGTGAGTTACTCGCTGCAGTATTCCTACTTTCTGACCTGCTCTTGTAACCGCTGTGTTTATGTGGTGAGTCCGGTTGAGTTTCTGGTCAATAATAGCCCCTGGTATGTTGATAGTGGGGGAGTCAGTGATGGTAACATCATTGAATGTCAAGGGCCGGTGGTTAAATTGTCTCTTATTGGTGATAGTCATAGCCTGGCATTTGTGTGGCGTGAATGTTACTTGCCACTTGTCAGCCCAAGCCTAGATATTGTCCAGATCTTGTTGCATTTGAACATGAACTGCTTCAGTGTCTGAGCACTCACAAATGGTGCTGAACATTGTGCAATCATCGGCGAACATCCCCATTTCTGACTTTATGATGGAGGGAAGGTCATTGATGAAGCAGCTGAAGGTGATTGGGCCTAGAATTCTACTATGAGGAACTCCTGCAGAGATGTCCTGGAGCTGAGATGATTGTCCTCCAACAACCACAACCATCTTCCTTTGTGCAAGGTATGACTCAAATCACTGAAGAGTTTGCTCCCTGATACCCATTGATTCCAGTTTTGCTAGAGCTCCTTGATGCCGTAATCAGTCAAATGCAACCTTGATATCAAGGGCTGTCACTCTCACCTCACCTCTGGACTTCAGCTCTTTTGTCCACGTTTGAACCAAGGCTGTAATGAGGTCAGGAGCTGAGTGGCCCTGGCGGAACACAAACTGGGCGTCACTGAGCAGGTTATTGCTGAGCAGGTGCTGTTTGATCGCACTGTTACTGACACCTTCCATCACTTTACTGATGATCGAGAGGAGACTGATGGGGCAGTAATTGACTGGGTTGGATCTGTCCTGCTTTTTGTGTACAGAACATACTTGGGCAATTTACTGCATTGTTGGGTAGATGCTAATGTTGTAACAGTACTGGAACAGCTTGGCTAGGGGAGCGGCAAGTTCTGGAGCACAAGTCTTCAGTACTATTGCCGGAATGTTGTCAGGGCCCATAGCCCTTGCAGTATCCGGTGTCTCCAACCGTTTCTTGGTATCATGTGAAGTGAATTGAATTTAACTGTATTGTCTGAAGACTGGGGATTGTAATGCTGTGGGCCAAAGGAGGAGGTTGAGATGGATCATGAAGATTGCTGCAAAAGCTTCAGCCTGATTAATTGCTTTGATGTGCTGGGCTCTTCCATCATTGAGGATGGGGATATTTGTGGAGCCTCCTCCTCCGGTGAATGTTTTAACCATCCACCACCATTCATGACGGAATGTGGCAGGACGGCAGAGCTTAGATCTCATCTGTGGGTTGTGGGATTGCTTAGCTCTTTCTATCTCTTGCTACTTATGCTGGTTGGAATGCAGATAGTCCTGTTTGGTGGTTTCACCAGGTTTTCACCGCATTTTTAGCTATGCCTGGTGCTGCTCCTGGCATGACCTCCTGCACTCTCCATTGAACCAGGGTTGATCCCTTGGCTTGATGGTAATGTTGAGTGGGGGATATGCCAGGCCATGAGGTTATAGATTGTGTTGGAGTACAATTCTGCTGCTGTTGATGGCCCACAGCGCCTCCTGTATGCCCAGGCTTGAGTTGCCAGATCTATTCAAAGTCTGTTCCATTTAGCACGGTGATAGTGCTACACAACACCATAGAGGGAATTCTCAATATGGAGGCGGGACTTCGTCTCCACAAGGACTGTGCAATGGTCACCCTTACTGTTACTGTCATGGACAGATGCACCTGCAGCCATCAGTTTGGTAAGGATGAGGTTAAGTGTATTTTACCCTCTTGTTGGTTCCCTCACCACCTGCTGCAGACCCAGTCTAGCAGCTATGTCCTATAGGGCCCGAACAGCTCGATCTGTAGTACTGCTGCTGAGCCACTCTTTGTGGTGTTCATTGAAATCCCCCACCCAGAGTACATTTTGTGCCCTCGTCATCCTCAGTGCTTCCTCCAAGTGTTGTTCAACATGAAGGAGTATCAATTCATCAGCTGAGGGAGGACAGTATGTGATTATCAGCAGGAGGTTTCCTTGCCCATGTTTAACTTGAAGCCACGAGACCTCATGGGATCCAGAATGAATGTTGAGGACTCCCAGGGTAACTCCCTTCCGACTGTATACCACTGTGCCACCATCTCTGCTGGGTCTGTCCTGCCGGTGGGACAGGACATATCCAGGGATGGTGATGGTGGTGTCTGGGACATTGTCTGTAAGGTATGATTCTGTGAGTATGACTATATCAGGCTGTTGCTTGACTAGTCTGTGAGGCAGCTCTCCCAATTTTGGCACTTACTCCCATATGTTAGTGAGGAGGACTTTGTGGGATGGACAGGGTTGTTTCTGCCATTGTCCTGATATCTAGGTCGTGCCAGGAGATCCATCTGCTTTCATTTCTTTGAGATTTTGTTGTGATTGATACAACTAAATGGCTTGCTAGGCTATTTCAGAGGGTAATTGAGAGTCAGCCACATTGCTGTGGGTCTGGAGTCACGTGTAGACCAGACCAGGTGAGAGTGGCAGACTTCCTTCCCTGAAGTACATTACTGAATCAGATGGGTTTTTCTGACGATCGATAATGAATTGCGGTCATCAGGAGATTTTTAATTCCAAATTCCACCACCTGCCCTGACAGTTCGAACCTGGGTCCCCAGGACATTGATTTATTTGATTTATTACTGTCACATGTACTGAGGTACAGTGAAGAGTGTTGTCTTAGGTGCGTTACAGGTGGATCGTTCTGTACCAGTGCATCAGTGTAACAGAACACAGTGCAGGATACAAGGTTACAGCTGCTGCAAAAGTGAAGAGAAAGATCAACATTAAGATTTGAGAGGTCCATTCAAAAGTCTGATAATAGGGGGGATGAAGCTGTTCCTGAATCTGTTGTATGTGTTATACAAACTTTTGTATTTTCTGCCTGACAGAAGAGGGTGAAAGAGAGTATAACTGGGGTGGGAAGGAGTCTTAGATTATGTCGATTGCTTTCCTGATGCAGCAGGAAGTATAGACGGAGTCAATGGATGGAAGGTTGGTTTGTGTGATGGACTGGGCTGTGTTCACAACTCTCCGTAGGTTCTTGCAGTCTTGGAAAGAGCAGTTGCCATACCAAGCTGTGATGCACCCCGATAGGATGCTTTCTACGGTGCATCTATAAATATTGGTAAGAGTTGAGTTTCTTGATTAAGAGTTGAGTGATAATACAATTAGACCATCACCTCTCCTTTCAGTTTTTCATAATTTGAATAATATTCAAATCTTCTATTCTTCCTGCCAAAATGCATAACCTCACCTTTTTCCATTTTATATTCAATCTACCAAGTTTTTGCTCATTCCTTTAATCTGAATATATTCCTCTCCAAGCCATCTTCACCTCCTGCCTTCCCACCAATGTCTTTTTTTTTCATTAAATGTGTCTATCATTTATTCACTTCCCTCAGCCAGGTCATTAATGTATAACAGTGGCCCAAGCACTGAACCCTGTAGCACACCACCACATATTGCCATCCTGAAAATTTCCCACTTTCTCTGCCTTCTATTAGCCAGTCAGTCCTCTATCCATGATATACTACCTCCAACATCATGGGCTTTCATTGTACTAAGTAGCATAATGTGTAGTAGCTTTTCAAACGCCTTCTGAAAATTGAAATATATTACCTCCACTGCTTCCCCTTTATCTATACTTGTTTGTTATCGCCTAAAAGAATTTGAGTAAATGTGTCAGACATGATTTCTCCTTCATGAAGCCATACTAAGTCTGTTTGATTTTATTATGTGTTTATAAGTTTGTTGTTACATCGTTTATTGTATCTGACATTGACAGAATAGAACATTTTCTAATTTGCAATTTCCTTTATGTTTTCACTAGCCAACACCACAAGTGATCGGTAAGTTTGAGTTCATTTGTTGGTAAAAGTCAAGATATTTTATACAACAACAAAACATATTTCATGAATTCTGTGTTTCTCCTTGATCAAGTTACATCTTGAGCCCTCTTACATCGTCCATTCCATCAATCTTTGTGTAAACAATTCCATCCAACTGTTCTACTAAATCTTAATTTCTGAATTTTCAGTCACTCTGCCAATGTCTTGAATTTTTAATTCTCATTCTTCTTTCCAAATCCCTCCACTTTATCTTTGTAATATCTTCCAGCTCCACAACCCTCCAAGACATCTGTACTCATCTAATTCCAGCCTTTTGCACATCTGCAATTTTAACCACTCTAATATCGGTCCTGTGCCACAAGGTTTGCAATCTCTAATCGTCTAACCTCTTGACATCTCTCTCTCTTGTCCATTGAGATGCTCCTCAAATTCTTCCTTGTTGACTGAGCTTTCAGTCATCTTGTAATGCCTTCTTTTATGGCTGTTTATCCAATTCTGTCATACGACACTCTTGTGGGAGGCCATTGGATAGTTTACTGCATGAACGACAATATATAATTGCACATGGTTGTTGTAACCAAATATTGTTGTTCCCTTGCATTTGTACATCAAAAGAGAAGGATTTTTCACTTACCTTTATGATATTACATAATTGCCATTGAACTTTGATACTAATTACATTTAATAACTATAGTCTAGCATATTGAATTACTTCAGAACCTCCTCATGTAGTTTACCATCAATTAAATACTTTTGAAGTGCAGCATATCAGAATGAATTTGGGGCTGTTTTGGGATATTAATGTCAATATTCTAGTTTATTTACCATTGAGGCCTTCAATTAAGTCACATTGAATTTCAATAAACAGAAGACCTAAGATGAAAACTGAAAGCTCTGAAGTAGGGTCTCTCGACCCAAAACGTTAACCCTGACTTCTTTCCACAGATGCTGCTAGGCCTGCTGAGCTTTTCCAGCAATTTCTGTTTTTGTGTTGAGAACAGCTAAGTTGTTGGCTTAGACTTTCCTTAGGTCCCAACCATCCCAAAATTCCTTCAGCATCACCAAGCATCCTCATTCAGTGAGGAATCCTTGGCTACTTGTCTTTTTAACCCCTCAGGAACAATTATGTCAATAATTCTTCAAAGATCAGAGCTACATGGAGCTCTATAGAGTTTACTGCTCTCAATGTAGATTTTGTTGGTGCTTTTCTCAGAATATGCAGCTTAGAATTAGAAAAACTCAAGACCTGGTGTACAACAGCGGGGGGCAAATGGATTAATTAAACCCTACGACAGTGGTACAGAATTACCATCCATAACCCCTGATGTAATAACATCCTTACGCTCAGCAACTGAGGGAGCAATTACTTAGCTTCAGAGACTTGCATTAGCTAAATAAAAAAAAGCACAAGAGTTGGCCATTCAGCCCATTTAGCCCATCATGCCATTTCCTAAGATCATGCCTGATTTTTCCATACACAGGCACTATAAACAACTTTCAGTCCTGTTATCTGCACATCATTGGAGGAACCAGAGAGGGTGATTTTTATTTTCATTCATGGGATGTCTACATCACTGTTCGGGCTAACATTTATTGCCCGTCCCTAGTTGCCCTTGACAAGGTGATGGTGAGCTGCCTTCTTGAACCGCTGCAGTCCACAATGCCATTAAAGAGGAATTCCAGGATTTTGACCCAGAGACAGTGAAGGAACGGTGATATATTTCCAAGTCAGGATGGTGAATGGTTTGGAGAGGAACTTGAAGGTGGTGGTGTTCCCATGTATCTGCCTCACCTTCCATCTGATGACCAGTAAATACAATTTTAATGTCGCACTGTACCTGTGTAGACATTTTCAAGCACTGATTTGCAAAGAAATTCACAGTCAGATTATAATTGTTGCTGTGTTTTCCTGGACCTTGCGACTAGCTTAAAATGTAATACTATGCTGACCTGACTTTTAGATGGATTGTGGTGACCTTATTTGTGTTGGGAACAAACATTCTGTTAGAACGACAGAACAAATTCAAACCAAGACAAATTACCTTTGAACTTAGTGCCTTTTTCACCTATTGCAGACGCCAGTTAAGAGTCAAGCATGGAACAGGTAAGGATGATAGAATTTGAATTGACTTGAATTAGCTGTATTGTCACAGGTACTCAAATGAGTGCAGTGAAAAGTTTGCAAGCCACCATTCACACTAGGTACAAATTCTTTCGTACAAGTTCTTAGGAAAAATAAAATTAGAAAGATAAAGAAATAAAAAAGTCCAGTTTTACAGATCATAGGAACAAATTAACAATAGAGAAATAAAAAGTTCAGAACAATAGTCCTTCCAACCCATAGATAGATCCAAGATGGTCATGGGGTAGAATGCTTCAGTTGGAATTTGTCCACTCTGTCTGTTTCTTATTCTTTTTTCTTCTCTTTTGTGTTTTATTTCTCTCTTCTTTGTTCTTGGTGATATCCTGAATTCCTGGCCTCAGCGTAGACTCAGGCTCTCAGCCTCAGCACGGACCCAACGAGGCATCCTCTCGGCTTGGCATGGCGGTCTCCCAGGATTTACTTCTCTAAAGGACATTAGTGAACCCAATGTCATCAGGATGGCTATTAATTCTAGACCTTCTTTTATTGAATCCAAATTTCACCACCCACCACCAATGCCCCCGGATTATTAGCCTGGATTATATCTGGATCACTAATCCAGTAACATTACCAGCATGCCACCCCTTCCACATCACAGAGCTGTCCATTGAAGGCAGGAATCTGTTGCAGCAGACAGAAAAACAAGCCAAAATAATTTCTGTTGCCGGACAGGAGAAAAGAAAAACAAGAATTTTCCAAATGAAAATGGATAAATGCCTGATGAGAGAAAAAAAATTTACAGGGTCATGGGGAAAGAGCAAGGACATTGGGTCAAATTGGAGAGCTTTCTTAAAGAGCTGGCACAGGCCTGAGAGACTGAATGGCCTCCTCCTGCATTGTATCATTCTATGTACCCAACATAATATTCCTAACCTCTAAGAAAAAGATCATTGATTAAAATTCATTTTCATTTCTTTTTAGAAGTGGATGTTGATGCTGGATTAGATCAGGACATATTTGAAGTAAATGAAGGTAATTGGATTTATTTTCTATCCATTGAAATCAATCTCTCAGTTGCTTTGTGGGGCAGTACAATAATGACAGTGCGATGTTATGAGTCGAGCAATTTTGCTTAGGGTGGAAGATGTTTAATTGATCTTGATTTCTCATCTTTGGCACATTGCAACATTTTCTTCCTTGTCTGTACAATCGGTGAGGCACGTGCTGTTGCTCAGCCTGGTTTGCACTGTAGACTGGCTGACTACAGGCAGCATTATACTTCCCATTACATTTGAGTGACACCCAGACCAAGTGCAGTGTCCCTGCTGACTTGAGATTACTTCTTCATTTTTTTTAAGAAAAGTACATCACCTTTTATTTTTGATGAGTGTACCCTGATGTCTGACCTAATTTAATGTTGGATTACATTGAATCTACACAATCATTCGATCCATCTGGTCTGTGCCAATATTTATTCCGTGTATTTCGCCTTCTCAAAATGTCGCCTATTCATTTCTCACTTCTGTGTCAATCTAGCTTCTTCCTAAAAACATATTCACCGTGCTCATCCACTCTGTGTAGCAGCAAGTTCTCCCCACTCTCAGGGTAAAGATGTTCCTCCTGAATTCCCTATTGGAAATGCAGCTGATTATTTTTAATTTCATGATGTTGAACTGACCCACAACTGGAAACATCTTCCCAACATCTACCCTCACAAACTCTGTCATCCACTTTACAGTCTTCTCTTTCCAATCCTTCCTGATAGTTAAAACCTCCCAGAGTTCTCGATTTGTTCTGCCACATCAGTTTGTGCCTTCTCCAATCCCTCAAACTTTATGTTTTGCCTCTGCAGACTTAGGCTTGAATCTTGAAGAAGGGGACATCAAAATTCACAAGGTAAGCTTTCTAGCTAAAGGTTCACTCAAACATCAGCTGCATTCCTTCAGATGCATGTTCTGTGTTATATGTATGTTCGCAGTCCTATGTCACTGATTTGGTCTCGCTCTCTTTTGTTCCCAGATGATTGATAGAAGCTCCATCAAGGGTGACAAATACAGATGGCCAAAAACAGTTCCATATTATCTGGAAGATAATTTACGTAAGTATTGATACTAATATCGACTTGAATCTCTTACCATCTAAATTTGTGTTTCTCTGAATGTTTAAATTTTGGGACAATGAGGACTTTGAGAAGTGCTGGGGATGGAATGGAGGCAGGCAACAGCTAAAATTAGCACCTAGCAGATAGTTAATACTTACTGGTCATATCATTAGATTACTTATCTCGCTCTCCCTTGCGACATTGATTCAGTTCCCACTACAGCGACTGGTGCAATTTAAATTCCATTAACAGGGGAGGTGATGTGGTACTATCGCTCAACTATAGCCCCAGGTAATGTTCAGAGGACTCAGTTTTGAATCCCACCACAGCAGATGGTGGAATCTGAATTCAGTAAAAATCTGGAATTAAGAGTCTAATGATGGCCGTGAATCTATTGTTAGAAAAACCCATCTGGTTCACCAATGTCCTTTCGGGAAGGAAATCTGCCATCCTTACTCAGTCTGGCCTACGTATGACTCCAGACCCACAGCAATGTGGTTGACTCTCAACTGCTCTCTGGGCAATTAAAGGTGGGTAAATAAATCTGGCCCAGGTAGCGATGCCCTCACCCTGTGAAGGAAGTTTTTTTTAAAAAATCAGTTTGCTTCAGTATTGGTGACCAAAGGTGGAATCTTCCCAGTCCCGACATGACGTTGATGATGAGGAGAAAGTTGATGTCACCTTGTCTCAGGGATGTGCAGTTTCCCATTCTAGCAAGTGTTGGATAGTTAAAAGTCAGAGCGGGCACCCACATGAACCCAACTTGCACCCCCTGATCTCTGTCAGTCACCAACATCTTAAGCCATTCTCCATGGGTACCAACTGCACATACTGGTTTATAACTGCAGCGAGAGTCTATTTCATTATAATACATAGGAAGTATTGTTAAGTGCTGAAAGCTGGTCTGTGTTTTCTGTGAACCTGAGTATGAAGACTGGTAAATTGGGGAATAATCTGTACACCTTAAATTCTTTAACTTTTGTGATAACCCTGGGAATAGTGGGACTTGATTTCCAACAACGCTACCCCAGTGAGCATGTTGAAGTTTGGGGCTCACTGAGTATTAGGTTGGAGACAGAGGCAACGACGATCTGGGTGTGGTATTAGTAAATAGCACAATTGAAGGAAAACACCACGTTCTCGATTGTATTTAAGACATGGCACTGGAAACGGCAGAACATTTCCTGCGGGTGGCAGCGTTGTCCCCAGCAGTCTTAAAGGAAATTTCAAAGCCAAGGTTGCTTGACTTGGCAGGTAAACTGGAGGTCACATTGCTTGGCAGAGCTAACAAGGGCAGAGATAATTAAAGTACTAGCAAGGCAATTGAGTTTAGATGAAAGACAAAAGAGTTCAAGTACTTTGGGGAGTAAAACATTGGACTCAGGTGATATACAGTTGCAATTAAGTTACAATTAAAGCAACTGGAGCAAAAGGAGAGAATGAAGAAACTGGTACACACTGCTGCTACTGAGTGGTGGTGATGGAGACAGTGGGTGTAGTGCCAATCAAGCGGGCTGCTTTGTCCTTAATGGTGTCAAGCTTCTTGAGGGTTGTTAGGGTATTCCAACACATTCTGGACTTGTGCCTTGTAGATGGTGGACAAGCTTTGGGGAATCAGGAGGTGTGGTACCTACTGCAGGATTCTGACCTTCTATCCTGTTCTTGCAGCCACAGTATTAAATAACTAGTTCAGTTCAGTTTCTGGACCGTTCTCAAACATATGGTGGTATGATTATGTGATGGCGACTCATCTGGTAATAATTTCTTTTCTTGCAGATGTAAATGCTAAAGGTATGATCCTAAAAGCATTTGAACAATACCGCCTCAAATCCTGCATTGACTTTAAGCCTTGGATGGGGGAAGAAAACTACATCTCTGTATTGAAAGGCAGAGGGTAAGGGCATCATTGTTTTCTCTCAAGTCTTGCCTCTGATACTGGTGCACCCTTCACCTAGACTCACACCTTTCCTCTTCATCCTCCAGTGTGCTGGACTTGAGTGGATTCTCTCAACTTTTAAGCACTTGATTCCTCAAATATACCCTTGCCTTAAAAAAAGGGATTGAAAACCAAACGACTCCAACTTTGCAAATCATGCATAAAGAGACAGTTTATCAGCATTCTCTCCTGTTATCGACCAGACCAGACCTCCTCAAAATATTTTAAGAAAGTAGCCGAGCCCCTAATGTTTTTTTTATTTTAAAGATAAATGTAAAAGGATGTGTTCCAGATGCAGTGTGACTAGTCAAACTACTTGACATTAAGCAAAACACAATTTACTCATACATTATAGTTAAAATACAACAAAAGAAAGCAGACCTTAGAATAACTTAACTCTTGTTGGATAACTTAACTGAATAATAGATACAGAAACTGTTACTAATTAACTGTTCCAATATAGTAACATCCCATAAACACTTGCTTTGGCAAAAAGGCAAATTCAGAAATCGGATTTTCTCACATGCAATGCCCACAGTAGGAAGAGAAACCCCAGCTTCTAGCTGTTACCACGAAAGGGGGAGAAAATAGTTTCTACTTCTTCAAGATTCAAGCAGCTTCTGCTGAATCTAAAAGCTAAAAAGAACCTAGAAATCCTGGTCTGTGAGAGCTGGCCACACCCATCCAGGCTGTTTCTATTGTTCCAACATTAAAAAAAATGGCCTCACAAGTTGTTTACGTTATCAAAGACTGCTCGGTACCTCTCGTTCAATTTCTCTCTTAAAAGAAACCAGGTCAAAAGACACCTCTTAAAGCCATAGCATCATCACACTTCTCATGTGCAAGCTGATTTAATTGTAAATTTTAATTGCATAAAATTTCAAGGAAATTTCACTGCACTACATGAATGGTCAAAATGGTGGCAAATGGATTTCAGTGTAGCCAAAATGTGAGATCATCCAATTTTGACATAAAAAGGATAAAACAGGGGACTTTCTAAGTGGTCACATAATAAGAATAATGGAAGTCCACAAAAATATGTGGCTTCACCTGTTTTGTTCATCTGTGAATGGGTACCGAAAGTTATCGAAAAGGCTGAAGGAATGCTGTCCCTTATATACTGAGGACTTGAATACAAGTGAGTTCAAGTCAAGCTTTACGGAATCACAGAACTCTTATGGTGCAGAAAGAGGCTGTTCAGCCCATCATGGCTGCACCAGGTCTCTAGCATGCTACCTTTCTGCTGATCTCCTGCATTTCCCTGTAACCATACACACAGGATGCTTATTTAAACAGTAACAATGCCCTCTTGAATGTCCCAATTGAACCCATCTCCACCACATTTCCAGGCAGAGCATTCCAGATCATAACTATCACCGAGTGAAAAAAGTTTTGCTCACCTCCCATTTGCTTCTTTTCTCTGTAAAAATGTGCCTTTTGGTTCTCAATCCATTTATGAGTGGGAACATTTTCTCCCTAGTCGCTCCATCCAGTGCTCCCCATGACTTTGAAAACCTCAATCAAATCTTCTCTTCATCTTCACATTTCCAACCATTCAGAATCACAGAATGTTATGACATGGAAGGCGGCCATTTGGTCCGTCGTGTCAGCACTGGCTCTCCAAATGAGCATCATTACCTGAAGCTGGGTTCCTGCCTTTTTCCCCATACACTTGTACACTATTTCTAGCTAAATAACCATCCAGTAGCCCCTCCCAAATGCCTTAATTGAATCTGCCTCCACCACCCTGTTCCGGACTTGGCAACAGCCGCACTGCAGCATTCTCGATTTTCTGAAAAAGGGGAAACAAACTGTACAACGCCTAAGTGAAACCACACCTGGAGTTACTGTAAGCAATTCACCTTAGGGAAGATATTTGGCATTGGGGAGATTGCGCAGTGCAGTGACAGAGCTTTTCATGAATGATATTTGGATTCTGGTGATGAAACCATGAGGGTAAAATTACACCAGTCTTGTATTTTCTGGAACTTTGAAGGTGAAAGGGCTATTTGATTTGAGGTTTTCGTGGTTATTTCTAATGGAGCCCACGACTTATTAGATGCAGCTCTTTCAGGAGTGAAATGAGGAAAGGTTTCATAGAAACATAGAAACTAGGAATAGGAGTAGGCCATTCGGCCCTTCAAGCCCGCTCGACCATTCAATATGATCATGGCTGGTCCTCTGTCTCAATGCTCAGATTCATGCTTTCTCCCCATACTCCTTGATGCCTTCAAAATCTAAAGAAAACTATCTCACTGACACACAAAAGATGATAAAAGTTTGGAACAAAAAGCAATTCATGCTGAATCAGTTGTGAATTGTTTAGTTAGCCAAAGGTATTAAGGCTTATGGGACAAAAGTGGGCTTCAGGAGTTAGCTCACAGATTGACCATGAATAGGGGGACAGGGTGAAGGGGCTGAATGGCTTCTTCTTGGCCCCATGTTCCCTTACTAACATTTAATCAGTGCATTTAATTTTGCAAAAACTAAACAAGTTGGGATGCTACTCACTAGAGTTTAGAAGAATGAGAAGTGATCTCATTGAAACATATAGGATTCTTAAGGGGCTTGACAAGGGTCAATGCTGAGAGGATGTTTCCCCTCATGGGAGAGTCTAGGACCGGATGGTGTAGTCCCAGAATAAAGGGGCACCAATTTCAGACTGAGATGAGGAAGAATTTCTTCCCCTAGAGGGTTGCTGTGCAGACAAGTCCTTGTGTACATTTAAGACTGAGATAGATAGGTAGATAGATAGAAAGATAGACAGATGGATAGATATATAGTTAGATTCTTGTTCAGTCAGGGCATCAAGGGTTAGAGGGAAAGGGCAGGAAAGTGGATGTGGGGAATTTCAGATCAGCCGTGATCCTATTGAATGACAGAGCAGGCTCAAGGGGCCGAATGGCTTTATGGTCTTATGAACACAGCCAAATCAATAATTTTGCCATTTCCAGTTTACAATGATTTAATTGTTTCCCTTTTATTAGACAACAGAAGACTTCTCTGAAGCTACTATGAAGTCAGGAGTAGTTTCACTATAATATTATCATCTTAACTTTCCGTTTGATGTTTTCAATGACCAGTTCTGGACTGACGTACAAAAGTTGTTGCATTGGTGCAAGTGCTACTTGCCATGAGAGTTGCAGTGCCAAGCTTTGGTCGCCTGTTCCAATCATTTGGATGGAGCTGACAGACCCTACAGAACAAATTACAGAAAAGCAAGGCATTCTGGTGTCCAATAGTCCAATGACAGCCAATAACACCCCAAAAAAAGCTAACTAATCATAGCTGTGGCACATTTTGTAGCACTCTCACCACTGAGTCAAAAAGTACAAGTTCCACTGAATTGAGCATAACAGACTGAACCCTCCCAGTATAGTAATAAGAGAGTGCTGTACTGTTGGAGCTGTCTTCCTGAAAGGATGGTTGAGTCAGAAAATCTTGTTACATTGAGGTAATAATTACATATTCACTTGTGTTGCTACAGCCTCCAGGGCTATGGACCAAGAGCTGGAAAATGGAATTAGTGTAGATCTTCGTTAGCTGGTGCAGTCACTATGGGCTGAATGGCCTCCTTCTGTCTGTAAATGTCTATGGGCCTGAAATATTAAATCCATGTCTTTGCTGATAGATTTAAAGGATCCTATAGCATTATTTTGCAGAAGATGCCCTTCCCGGTATTCAGCCCCTCCCCATCAACACCTGAAAATTGAAATAATGTATTTATTAAAACATTGCTGTTTATGGGAGCTTGCTGTGTGCAACTTGGTTGTTGCATTTCCTGCTTTAGAGCAGCAACTAAAGGTCAAAAAGTACTTCATTGGCTATTAAGTGCTTTGGGTCATCTAGATGTCATGAAAGCTGCTCTAGAAATAATTTATTTTTCTGGAACACTATCTGCAGCATGTCCTCTATGTCTATCTATGTAAGGAGGAATTACTTCTCTCAAAGGGTCATGAATCTGTGAAATTTTCTAACCCAAAGCATTGTAGATGCTGGGACATTGAATAAATTCAAGGAGGAGACAGATAGAATTTTAAATAGTAATGGATTGAAGGGTTATGGAGAGTGGGCAGGAAGATGGAGTTGAGGCCAAGATAAGGTCAGCCTTGATCGTATTAAATGGTGGAGCAGGCTTAAAGGGCTGAATGGCCTACTCCTGCTTCTAGTTGTTGTGTTCTTGGGGTCTTCAAGCAAGAAGAAAGACTTTCATTGAGGTAGCACCTTCCACAAAGGTGACATCCCAAAGTCCCTTACAGTCAGGATAGTTTTGAAAGTCTGAGCTTCTTTCCGCTGGAGTTTTGAACAGTAAGGGGTGAATTGATTGAAGTGTATAAGATCCTAAACAGTGACAAGGTGGTTGTGGGGCTCCATCCAGAAATATGGGGCACTAGTTTTAAATTTGGGGTTTACCCTTTTAGAACAGTGATGCAGAGAAACCTTTTCTGTCAGAGGGTTGTGTGAATTTGGACTCTACCTCAGACAGTGATGGAGGAAGGGTTGTTTATTAGTTTTGAGACAGAGGTGGATGGATTCTTAACTTAAAAACAGAGAATGCTGGAGAAGGTCAGCAGGTCTAGCTGCACGTGTGGAGAGAGAAAGAGTTAATATTTCGAGTCTAACAGGGTTCCTCTTCACAACTCCAGAGAGTACCATTCCCCTCACTCAGCCAACTCCCATCACTCTGCTCAAAGTCACCCCCAGTGCCTTCACTGAAAACACCATTGGCCAGTACATTAAAAGTCTTGCCACTGATTGTACCAAACCAAAGAATGTGGTACAGACAACAGTAACAACGAGATAAAATGTCTCAAATACTGCTCAAGAACAACAGTTGACATTGAGCCACATGAGGATATATCAGGACAACATTTTAAAAGCTTGGCTGAAGAGGTAGGTAGGAAGTGTCTTAAAGGAGAGACAGTTGAAGGGGCTGAGTGATTGAATTCTAGAGCTTA